GTTTTTTATTGGCAAGGTTTTGTCCTATAGTGGAGAAGAAATCATTGATTCTGTTTGCTGTTTCTGTTGGTGGATTTGGGGGTTCATCTGATTTTGCTAATTTTATTTTTGCTATTTCGTGATATCTTTTTTGTTCCCAGAATTTCTGATAGGGTCTTCCAGGTCTTTTTTTTTTATCACCTCATAAGTTGGATAATCTGTTCTCATAATACAGTTTTTTTGCCCTTCTTATCAGGCTGGTTAGGATTGACGAGTAACGTTTTGTTTGGTCTCTGGTTATGTGACCCATTCTGTACTATTTTTCATATCGGTGTTTTGTATTTAGGGGATTTGAGAATGCTGGGTGTTAGCCAGGGACTGTTCAGTCTCTTAGCTGTCATCTGTTTAGCTTTTTTAGGGCAGTGCTTGTTATAGAGGTATTGGGTCTTTTTTAGAAATTATTAAAACATTCGTCAATATCTGTATAGATTTCTAGCTCAGTGTGCCAGTCAGTGTTTGTTACTGCTGTTGTGAAGTTATTAATGGCTGCCTCATTGTGAAGTCTGAAGGTGACTTTAGTAGTGTCTTGGGGTATTTTACCAAGAGTTGTTATGAGGAAAATAGGGTAGTGGTCTGTGGGTATTATCTGTAATTATGCCTGATTTTAAAGGGGATATGGTGTTGGTCCGATGTGGTCAAGTAGGGAAACACTAGTCTCCGTAACTCTTGTAGGTTTTGTTCTGTTGGTAGCAACATGCAGTTTATCATTGTGTTTGTGAATTCAGTAACGTGTGGGTCCTGGGCTTGCAGGAGATTTATATTGAAGTCACCTAGAGTTAGTAAGTGATCTTTGTTCATGCGTGCATCAGTTATCATACTTTCCCAGGTTTTGACTAAATTGGCTAATGTTTGATTGTGGAACTCTGTAGATGTTTATCACTGTGAGAGGTTTTTGTAGGTATTTGGATTTGAATTTGGGTATTATAAAACCCCATGTTCATCCCTTGTGCAAGTATTAGTGATACATTCTAGTTGGTCTGAGTAGTATATAGCTGTGCCACCCCCTTGTTGGTCTGGCCTACAGTTGTGTATGGCTGTGTAACCAGGAATGGCATAGCATCTGTAGTATCAGGGTTTAGCCAGGTTCAGTTAGTGTAATGATGGACATATTGGCAGCAAGGAATTTAGTAATGCTAGGAGGTCATCGTAATGCTTGCTTAAAGATCTGATATTGTAGTTAAAAAATGTTATGTTGTTGTTGGCCTGAGAAGTGCCTTTGATTGTTTTTGCTGTGTAGTAATTACAGTAACTGTTTGAATCATTTAAGTCATTAAATAAGAGGTTGGATCAGGATCAATGCTTGTAATCATAAGATTTGTAGTGAATCTATAGTTTGAATTAAGTATAAAACAAAGTAAAAAAATCTAAAGCAAAAAAATAGCACCTGAATTATTTAACAAATGTAAAAATAATGAGCTAAGGGTAGTTTTTTAAAGCTAAAATAAAGGAGACAATATAAAAGGGACTAAAATAATTTGTGGTGAACAAATAAAGTGATGATCAAAAAATGGAGCTTGGGAATTTATAGTAGGTAGTATTTAAAGGTAATTCTTTAAAGTTAGAATTATAATATAAAATTTATAATATAAAAGGGACTAATATAAGTTGTGGTGAACAATAAAAGTGCTAATCAAATAATTGCACTAAGGTCTAATATAATGACTTTTGTGGAGTCTATGTTTTGAGCTAATGAGCTATTTGTACAACTAGATTTAATCTAATAATATAACAATGCAAATTAAAATAGCACCAGTCTCTCACTAGTAATTGCAATATGGGCTAAAAATAAAGAATTTGTATTGACTATAGTACAACTGAGTTTAATCTAATAATTAAAAAAAGCACAAGACTCTCAATTGTAATTGCACTAAGGTGTTATATAAGTTGTTTACAAGAATTAGAGTATAACTAGATTTAAATTGACAAGATAAAATATACAAGTTAAGGTAGCAAAAGAATAAAAAAGTAGAAAAAAAAAAATTATATTGAGGTAGTTGGTACTAGTTAGCAAAAGATAGTTTAAAGGGGCCTTGAAAAATAAATATAATTGAAATATACACTAATTGCACACACAATGTAGTCACTAAGATATGAAAACAATCTTAGAGTAGGAATTATAATATAAACTTATAATATAAAAATACAAATTGAAATGGTACTTGCAATTGCACTAGAGTCTGGTATAGGTTGTTGACAAGATCAGGAGTATAACTAGATTTAAATTGACAAAATATAATTCACAATTAAAGTACCAAAAGAATAATAGTAAAAAATAACCAGGGTAATGTCTTGGTTATAATATGATAGTAAGATGGTGGACAGGTACACAGGTACAATGGATAATATAAAAGTTGGAGTTGAATATACAAACTTGAAAATTTGGCAACAAAATGTTATGGGAAGTATAAAATAATGTTTAATGTACAAAAGTAAAATTGACTGGTAGTAAATATGGTGTTTAATAAAATTTTAGTAGTAATGATGATTACAAAAAAGTGAAAAAGTAATGTTTATTTCATTCAATATTGCACTGGTAGTTATTCTAGAGGTTATATGGCAGTACAAGGTAATTAAGAGTACTCTAAGATAGTAAATGTGGTATTAAAACAGGTAAAGGTAATTAGACAAGTAATGGTTATTAAATGTCAAAAGTGTTAAGAGTAAATTGAAATTATAGTAAAAATGATAATTATTAATTTTAGTAAGTAATATCAATTGATAGTATTTAAAAAAATATGAGGTAGTAATATGGACAGAGAAAGTATCAATTCAGCTAATGTTTAAGCAAACAATAGTAAATAAGAAAATTACATAAGGTGACTTATGCTTACTAGTAAAATCACAAAATGAGGTAGTTGATTATTTAATTACTAAGAGATTGTACAATGAAATTTGAACAATAATGGAGCAAAACATACACTACACTACGTAGGCTTTTAAGTTGACATTGTTTAGTTATTCTCTGTAAGATTAGTATCCCTGAGAAATCGTGATAGATCATTCTCGTTTGTTATTGTGTACAGTTGACCTACATTTGTTTTCCTAACAAGAATTTTCCCATCCCGTGTGAAGCATTGGTGTATTGTGTCATTATTCTCCCGCTTAAGTTTTCTGACTCTATACAGGAGGTTCTGACGTTTTTTGGTAAGACACTCGTTTATGTATACCTTTTCTTTACTTTAATAGATGCAATAATTAAGTCTTTTTTCCTGTCATGTGAGTGGAATCTAAGCATAACACTTTTTCTACCATGGGATCCTAGTAACCTGGCTTCTTTTATTTCTGGCTCTGGTACAATAACACTTGTTTGGTCCTTTATGATCTGCAGAGTAATTTCTTTACTGTTTGTTTGGTTCATATCACTGGGAAAAAGTGGACTGTTAACTATTACTGCGTCCGATAGTTTATCTTGTTCAGTTTTATCTTCTTGGAGAGCAAAGTAGTCACTGAACTGGTTATCTAAGTTGTTCTTCCATTCTTTTACTGTTTCTTCAACCTTTGTATTAAGAGATATTATTTGTTGGGTATGGCTATCTATGACTATGATATACCTTTGGAGAGTTTCACTACTGTCGAAGCCTGGCCATGGGCCTGGCTTGTCCTAGTAAGTCTAACTAGTCTAACTGTATTGGACCATTAACAAGTCACTTGTCAGTGGTCCACGATGGATTGAAAAGAAGAACAAAAACGCACAATACTGCAACTGGAACAATACATATAATCCGCACATAGGAGAAAGAAACTTATGACGATGTTTCAGTCCGACTTGGTCCAAGTTGGACTGAAACGCCACCATGAGGCTTGGTCACAGACCAGGCCGCGGGGGCATTAACCCCCGAAACTCTCTCCAGGCATACAAGTTTCTTCTGTATTCTATGTGTGGGTTGTTAGTGTATTATTCTGGCCAACGTGCGATTTTTTTTTTTTTACCCATTGTTATTTTGGATCAAATGTGATTACCTCCCATTCCTGTGGGTTTATTGCTCTATATAACCCATTCCAGTCTATCACTTTCCCTTGAACATAAAAATAAAATTATTATGTAATAGCTCCCCAAGATCATAAGTACAGTGGACCCCCGCTTCACGATCACCTCCCAATGCGACCAATTATGTAAGTGTATTTATGTAAGTGCGTTTGTATGTGTATGTTTGGGGGTCTGAAATGGACTAATCTAATTCACAATATTCCTTATGGGAACAAATTCGTTTAGTACTGGCACCTGAACATACTTCTGGAATGAAATAATATCGTAAACCGGGGGTCCACTGTACTGCAAGTTGTTACATAAAAGGACACGTGCAATTAATGTGATATTTTATTGTGACAGTGTTTAGCTCTCCAGGAGCTCTTGGAGAGCAAAACATTGCCACAATAAAATGTCACATTAGTTGCACATGTGCCCTTTTACCTGAGATACTGTTGGTAATTCTACCAATATTTTTACAGTACTGCAAGTTGTCCGAGGTTTGAACCTCGTGTGATGGACATCCGTAGACATCATCTGATAATTGGTTATGTTAAAGTTATTGTAGCCATCACACAACAGAACCTTGCTTACTTTTGATTGCATTGCTACTGGTTATATTATTATATGTGGTGATGGAGCAGTACTAGATCCATAGGGGTCATACAATATCTGGGGAACTGGAAGGCATTTAGATTAAATTCGAGAAATTGAAGCATAGGCTCATGCTTGGTTCCTTAGATCAAGAGGTGGGGTAGGCACTACACCCATAGGGGTTATACTGTACCTGGGTAATGGAAAGCATTTAAGCTAAATTTGAGTAAAGCGCAGGCTTAGGCTTAGATCAAGAGCCCCACACCAGCATCAAGGAACCTTTTTTCAAGGGTACACAACAGCAGAAGGCATAAGTAAGTTGGTAATTAATACATTTATCATACATAATGTAAATTACATACAATAACCCAACAAGGTCAGACCAAGTGACTTATTTCCATTGGGGGTCCTTGGGGGACCCTATATTTATACAGTTGCTAGCATGACCCCATTCTGTCTTGCAGGTTGTTTCAACATTGGCTTCGCTAGGTGGGCAGCTAGGCAGTGCACTGGGCACCCGAGATCGCATGATGATGGTGATGAAAAGATGTGAGCATAATCTTTTATTATTTTATACACTGTAAGTGATGGAAAAAGGTTTACTGCAGTTTCTGAGTAATGTGAAACTAGAAGGAAACCCATAGGGGTGTGTATATATGTGCTTGTACATGCATGTGTAGTGTGACCTAAGTGTAAGTAGACGTAGCAAGACGTACCTGAAACCTTGCATGTTTATGAGACAGAAAAAGACACCAGCAATCCTACCATCATGTAAAACAATTACAGGCTTTCATTTTACACTCATTTGGCAGGGCGGTAGTACCTCCCTGGGCGGTTGCTGTCTACCAACCTACTACATAGAAGTAGCAAAAATGCTATAATAAATTGGAAATAAGATTAGTAGTTCAAGTTAGAAAATGTTAGATTTTTTTCATAAGGATACATTGGTATCATAATTTTCTTTTGACAATAACTTTTTCTGTAATACACAGTACAGTGAAGAATGCTTAGTGTACTAGAAAAGTAAGAACAGGTTGCTAAGTGTCCAGTCTGTGGGAAAAGTTAGAATACATAGCTAAAATGTAATAAGATCACAGTAAATAGGTGACACAATATGCAAAATAACCACTGTTAGAAAATAGCAAACATCCAAGCGCTTTTGTGATTTCTTGTGTTATCAAGGGCAAACACTTTTGTGAGAATTCACGAAATTGTTCAGATGTTTGCTATTTTTTCACAGTGGTTATTTTACAAATAGCTAAAATGTTCAATTTGCTAGGGAAAGAAGACTTGTGGCTTTACATGGACACTAATCTTCACACTACCCAATGTCATGCCCCTCAGTAGAAGAATTGGAACGTTACTTGGACCCCTCGTACGGTGAATCCCTCGAGTTGACAGACAGTATTAAGCTCGATTTGGTGTTGGCCCGTGAGGAGCAGCTGCGTAACCAGTACCAGCACCTCAATACAATGAACTCTCTCAAGAGTGTCCTGGACTCTCAGCACATCTCAGGTAAGCTGTGCCTTAGTATCTTGGCTTTGATACTGCCCTTAAACCCCCCTATCCTGTGGTGACGGGGTCTTAATCCAAGGAACCGAAACTACCCTCCCCTTCAGATCATACCCTATCAGCCAGTACATACTCTTGAAACTAGTCTAAAATCTTTCATTCAGTGAAGATTTTGGTCATTTGATAGAGGTCTTCTGCTGTTTTACCAGTCCACCAAGTAAACAGTTAAATATCTTAAAATGCTTAAAAGAAATCTGAATGAATAAAAGATTTTAGCAAGTTTAAGCTCTGTCCTGGCCAGGGATAGGACGACCAAAATTCTTTTCAAATACTGATAGTACTTGGGTTTAGGCTGATACTAGTACCATAAAAAAAATTGGCTAATACCCACTGATGCTGATACTCAATTGTAGGCAGATAATGATACCATAAAAATTAGCTGATAATCACAAATGCTGATATTTTGACACAGCCCTAATATTGGTTGCAGCTTCACATGGAGAATACAGTGGACCCCCGGTTAACGATTTTAATCCGTGCAAGAGGGCTCATCGTTATGCGAAATAATCGTTATGCGAATGAATTTTCCCCATAAGAAATAATGGAAATAAAATTAATCCGTGCAAGACGCCCAAAAGTATGAAAAAAAATTTTTTTTACCACATGAAATGTTAATTTTAATACACACAAACTGAAAAAGGCATGCACAATTAAATGACACTTACTTTTATTGAAGATCTGGTGATGATTGATGGGATGGGAGGAGGGGAGAGAGTGTGTTAGTGTTTTTGAAGGGGGAATCCCCTTCCATTAGGACTTGAGTAGTAAGTCCTTTTCTGGGGTTTACTTTCCCCTTTTTCTTTTAATGCCACTAGGGCCAGCTTCAGAGTCACTGGACCTTTCTTCGCACAAGATATCTGTCCATAGTGGCCTGTACCTCTCGTTCCTTTATGACTTGCCTAAAGTGTTTCACAACATTGTCATGTATAATCACCAGCACGGCTTGCAATAGCTGTGTGAGGGTGATTTTCATCCATGAAGGTTTGCACTTCAAGCCACTTAGCACAGATTTCCTTTATCTTTTTAGTAGGCAACTTCTTCAATTTCTCTCTCTCCCTCCTCTGAACCAGTTTCCTCAGGTCTGGCCTCTTGCTCTTGGGAAATTGATCTATCGCTCATCAGTGGTTAGTTCTTCATTGTCCTCCTCCACCAACTCTTCCACATCCTCCCCACTAACCTCCAACCCCAAGGACTTTCCCAATGCCACAAGGATTCCTCAACTGGCACAGGATTCTCAGGTTAGCCTCAAACCCTTCAAAATCCCTTTTGTCTACACTTTTCTGGCCACAGTTTTTTCCAAGCAGAGTTCAAGGTCCTCTTTGTCACTTCCTCCCAAGCCTTCCCCTATAAGGTTTACACAATTGAGGATATTAAAGTGATCTCTCCAAAACTCTCTTAGAGTCAGTTGATTTTCTGAGGTCATTACAAAGCACCTTTCAAACAGAGCTTTTGTGTACAGTTTCTTGAAGTTGGAAATAACCTGCTGGTCCATGGGTTTGCAGGAGAGGGAGGTATTAGGAGGCAAAAACTTCACCTTAATGAAGCTCATGTCCCCATAAAGTCGCTCTGCCACGTCTGTAGGATGACCAGGGGCATTGTCTAACACCAGGAGGCACTTAAGTTCAAATTTTTCTTTCAGTTAGGAAATTTTTTTCACATTGGGGGCAAATGCATGGTGTAACCAGTTATAAGAAAAATTCCCTAGTGACCCATGCCTTACTGTTTGCCCTCCACAGCACAAAACAAATTTAAATCCTTGAGGACATTCTTTTGCCTGAACGCTCTGGGATTTTTCAGAGTGATACACTAATAAAGGCTTCACTTTGCAATCACCAGTAGCATTGCACACATCAACAAAGTAAGCCTGTCTTTCATAGGCTTATGTCCTGGGAGTGCCTTTTTCCTTCTGAGTAATGAGGTCCTGCTTGGCATTTTCTTCCATAACAGGCCTGTTTCATCACAATTAAACACTTGTTCAGGTTTCAGTCCTTCAGTTCTATGTACTCTTGAATTCCGGCACATATTTTTCAGCCGCTTTGTGGGTCCGAACTGGCACCCCTCACCATGCCTTATCACACTATGGATGCCACTACGCTTCTTAAATCTCTCAAACCAACCTTTGCTGGCCTTAATTCACTCACATCATCACTAGTTGCAGGGATTTTTTTAATTAAATCCTCATGCAACTTCCTAGCCTTTTTACATATGACGCTTGAGAGAAAGCTATCTCCTATCTGTTTTCATTTAAACCACACCAATAAGAGTCTCTCAACATCTTCCATCACTTGCGATCTTTGTTTCGAAAACACAGTTGAACCCTTTTGGGAAGAACAGCTTCCTTGATTGTCTTTCTGGTGCCCACAATAGTAGCGATGGTTGATTGGGGTTTCTTGTACAGCTTGACTAGGTCGGGTATACGCACTCCACTTTCATACTTACCAATTATCTCTTTCTTCATCTCTATAGTAATTCTTACCCCTTTTAGGTGTAGGTTGGCACTAGAAGCTTTCTTGGGGCCCAGGGGCACTTTTTTTTTCCAGAAACAGCACCGAAAATACTGTAATAATACGAAATATTCCGAGTGTATGCTTGGATGTTACCGCGGAGGCTGGCTGGTAAACAATGGGACGGGGCGGCACATGTGAGGCTGGCTGAGGGCACATTGGACGCGTCTCGGACGAAAATCGGTAAGCGGGTTTTTAATCGGTATGCGCGGCAAAAATTTTGCGATAAAAGTAATCGTTATGCGGAAAAATCGCTATGTGATGCCATCGTTATGCGGGGGTCCACTGTATATGCTCATTAATTGTTCCATGTATAATCTGGCTAACTTGTACGTGAATGTATAAAAGAACTGAGATTTATTTCACTTTCATTACACTTCTCAGCTGATGTATTCTTAGTTTAGATACATCAGTAAAAATACATCACTTTCACTATTGGGTTATCCAATAGTGAAAGTGTGACTTATCCAATGTGTGAAATATTTGTGGATTTTCCTGAATGATGCTTTTCTGTGTATTTGGAGTGTTAACCCTTTCAGGGTTGACAGGCCCTCTCAGAGATTTGTTCTCAGGGTCGGCCAAATTTCAAAAAAAAAAAAAAAAAAATTTTTTTCTTAGAAAAGATAGATAATTTTTTTCCCCATCAAAAGACACCAAAAGTAGAAATTTATGGAAAAACTTCGGAAAAATTTTCTCTCGAAAGTTAGTGGGCTCGACAATGTTTTTTGCATCGGGAATTTTTTGCCCCCTTTGAGCCCTTTTTCCCGCCAATCCAGTGTACTTTCGACAAAAAACATAACTATTTCGCTAGAAAAACCCCCCCTCCATTTTTTTTTTACGAATGATACAAAAAACACCCATTTTTCCGTTTCAACATCCAATACAGTGGTTTTTGAATTTAGCAATTTTTCCAATTTCACACAAGTTTCAAAAAAATGCCAATTTCCGAATAAGTCCAAAAAAAACAAGAAAGACATTCCTGGGACTAAAATAACATTTCCTCTGTTCATTAGATGTCCCCGGGCCCCCCTTACATTCTTTTGCTTTCCCTTAAATTTTTTTTTCTCCAAAAAAAAATAATTTATGTTTGCAACTACTGCATTGGGGTAAAAAGGGATAAATATTACAGCGCCTTTTGAAAAGAATATTAACTCACCTTTTACGTGTATTGGACGCAAGCATATTTGTTTTTCTTTTGAACTTTGGAGATTCAAAAAAAAAATTGAAAAGGGTTTGGGGATGATTTGGGGGTTTTTTTTAAAAGGAAGAAATTGAAAGTGAACATAAAAAAGGGAGTAAGGTATGAGGTATCAAATGATTTAGATAAAGAAAAATTGGATATCAAATTGGGGAGGAGGTAATGAAGAAGTGAAGTTTTCAGATATTTGGGAGTTGACGTGTCACAGATGGATTTATGAAGGATGAGTTAATCATAAAAATTGATGAAGGAAAAAAAGGTGAGTGGTGCGTTGAGGTATTATGTGGAGTCAAAAAAGTTACAATGGAGGCAAAAAAAGGGGAGTGTATAAAAGTATAGATACCAACACTCTTATATGGGTGTGAAGCTTGGGTTGTGAATGCAGCAGCGAGGAGGCGGTTGGAGGCAGTGGAGATGTCCTGTCTAAGGGCAATGTTGGTGTAATATTATGAAAGAAAATTCGTAGTGTGGAAATTAGGAGAAGGTGTGGAGTTAATAAAAGTATTAGTCAGAGGGCTGAAGAGGGTTGTTGAGGTGGTTTGGTCATTTAGAGAGATGGATAAAAGAAATGACATGGAGACATTTAAATCTGTAGGAGAAGGAAGGCGGTAGGGGTTGTCCTCGAAAAGGTTGGAAGGAAGGGTAAGGGAGGTTTTGTGGTTAGGGGTTTGGGACTTCCAGCAGGCGTGCATGAGTGTGTTCGATAGGAGTGAATGGAGACGAATGGTATTTGGGACCTGATGATCTGTTGGAGTGTTGGGAGGGTAATATTTAGTGAAGGGATTCAGGGAAACCTTATTTTATATACCCTGACTTGAGTCCTGGAAATGGGAAGTACAATGCCTGCACTTTAAAGGAGGGTTTTGGGATATTAGCAGTTTGGAGGGATATGTTGTGTATTTTTATACGTATATGCTTCTAAACTGTTGTGTTCTAAGCACCTCTGCAAAAACAGTGATTATATGTGAGTGAGGTGAAATTGTTGAATGATAATGAAAGTATTTTCTTTTTGGGGATTTTCTTTCTTTTGGTCACCCTGCCTCGGTGGGAGACGGGCCGACTTGTTGAAAAAAAAAAAACAGTGCTGTACTTTTTTCACCATGGAATTTTACAGATACTGCCAATTTGGGTGACGAGTTGATTCAGATAACCAACAGACACAACCAGGATGAGGAGGCAGCCACTCAGCAGAGCATCCAGATCAAGCAGATGTTAGACCAATATAATGCTATCGTATCCTTTAATATGAGGAAGGCTCTGCTAGATGTATGTTTGTAGCACCGTTCTCATGTGTTGTAAACGCATACATCCCACAACCATTTTTCTAGCTTGGGCATACAAAAAAAGGATGTTATTTTTTTAAGAGAGAATTGTGATGTTAGGGTACAAATCTGTACATTTAGTTATTAATGTGTGTGTCTGAATGATTTAAAATCGTGAAAGACATAATTGGAGATTTAACAAGCATGTTGAAAATGTTACACATTTTCAAAAATTTGGCTGGAATATCCTCATTTTAGTGTTTCATGTGAAGTCTATACTTTCTTATGCGTGTACAAACCATGTAAATGTGTTTTCAGTATTTTGCGATCTGAATGTAATAATAGTTATGCAGAACTGTATGCATCCCATGTATAAGTGATGCGGTTTTAACCCTGAGCAATGAAATAATGTTTGTAGAATTACAGACAATATGCTAGGTAAATAGACACATGCAAATAATGCAACATTTCTGTTGTGGCACTGTTTTGTTCTCGAGGAGCTTTGTCAAGCCGGATAGCATGACAAAGCTCCTTCAGAGGGAAACATTGACACAATAAAATTGTCGCATTAGTTGCACTTAGTGTCCTTTTACCAAACAATCCTGAATTATGTTGCCAACACATTCATAATGCTGCATAAGGTCATACAAGATACATATAATTGAGTGTGTATATAAGCCTTAGAAAATACAGATTGTGTCATACTTGCATTTTGCATTTTAAGATATCTTTTTAAGATAATTAATAATGTATATTTTACACCATCCCTGGTTATTTTTCAACATTAATGGAATTAAAAGTTTGTGTTGGCCAGGTTTGGTTATAGTGATAATCATTCTGATTAGTTTAAGTGGTATGCAAGGTTTTGTACTTCAATTTAGTATCACTTCATGTACAGAATACACAACTAATCCACAAGTCGGAGGTTAATCTTTTGATGACTTTTCTTTGATCTGTCCTGGACCTGGATCACTCGATAATGCTCTAGGACAGATTAAAATGTCATATGAAGATTACCTCTGATTTGTGGGTTTGTTGTGAATTGTACTAGACACAGTATTGTGACTTATATTGTTCTTTATGTATAGCATAGTATACATATTACATTTGCCTTGTCTAAACGTGATTGTTCAGTGAGTCAGGAGTGTGCATCTCAGGTGTTAGCCACAACCTTTTAATTTTTTTCATTGTAACATCAATAATTTTCACATTAGCGAGACCTCTTGCTGTTTTTTGTTACTTATTTGATTTATTAATAGTTAATTATGATAAGATACATCAATGTATTAATGTATCAAGAAGATTTTGGGTGAAATTTTTTTTAACATACTATTCCTGTATAGATAGAGGTTAATTGTGCAAGTATGAGCAAAGCAAGAGGAACTACAGCCTCTCCTCATTTAACATGGAGTTCCGTTCCTAAGACCATGTCGGTAAATGAATTTGTCACTAAGTGAGGAGCATACAATAATGGTAGTGGGTTTCTCAACCATCTTTGGTATTGTTTTAATGTCACCTTTGCACCATTTATAACATTTCTGGTGTATTTTTAAAAGTTTATACAGCAGTGTACTGTATATTGTAATAAACAGAATAGAGGAAATTAGCTCTAACGAGTTTGGGAGGGTGTGCAAAGGTAGAAAGTTGAAAGTGAACATAGATAAGAGTAAGGTGATGAGGGTATCAAATGATTTAGATAAAGAAAAATTGGATATTACACTGGAGAGAGGGAGTATGGAAGAAGTGAATGTTTTCAGATATTTGGGAGTTGACTTGTCAGTGGATGGGTTTGTGAAGGATGAGGTTAACCATAGAATTGATGAAGGAAAAAAGGTGAGTGGTGCGTTGAGGTATCTGTGGAGACAAAAAGCGTTGTCCATAGAGGCAAAAAAGGGAATGTACGAAGGTATAGTGTTACCAACGCTTATGTGGGTGTGAAGCTTGGGTTGCAAATGCTGCAGTGAGGAGGCGACTGGAGGTGGTGGAGATATCTTGTCTAAGGGCAATGTATGGTGTAAATATTATGCAGAGAATTCGGAGTGTGGAAATTAGGAGGAGGTGTGGAGTTACTAAAAGTATTAGTCAGAGGGCTTAAGAGGGGTTGTTTAGGTGGTTTGGTCATTTAGAGAGAATGGATCAAAGTAGAATGACATGGAGAGCATATAAATCTGTAGGGGAAGGAAAGAGGGGTAGGGGTAGCCCTTGAAAAGGTTGGCAGGGGAGGGTAAAGGAGGTTTTGCGGGCGAGGGACTTGGACTTCAAGCAAGCATGTGTGAGCGTGTTAGATGGGAGTGAATGGAGATGAATGGGTTTTGGGACATGACAAGCTGTTGGAGTGTGAGTAGGGTAATATTTAGTGAAGTGATTCAGGGAAACCGGTTATTTTTATATAGCTGGACTTGAGTACTGGAAATGGAAAGTACAATGCCTGCACTTTAAAGGAGGGGTTAGGGATATTGACAGTTTTGAGGGATATGTTTTATATCTTTATTTTTGCTTCTAAACTGTTGTATCTGGGTGCCTCTGCAAAAACACTGATTATGTATGAGTGAGGTGAAAGTGTTGAATGATGATGAAAGTATTTTCTTTTTGGAGATTTTCTTTCTGTTTGGGTCACCCTGCCTCGGTGGGAGACGGCCGACTTGTTGAAAAAAAAAAAATATATTATTTAGGTATGCACACTGGCCAGAGAGCCCATCATAAGTCAGAGTTGTCGGTAAATGAGTATGTCGCTAAGTGAAGAGAGGCTGTATTGTATTGATCTTGGGTTTTAAATAGGCAGTAGCTGAATGCTGTTGTTACAATTCAAGTATGTATACAAGTAACTTAGCTTTACACTTGAATTTCTATTCTATATCAGCCAAAATAATTTAGTGACCAAAGTTGGAAATATATAAGCTTTGTGAAACATCAGCATTGCTATATTTAATTATGGAAGTTGTAATATCAAAGACAACTGTATAAACTTTAAAATTTGAGAAGTTTATCTAATACAAGACGGCATTCATGTTCTATGAATGTGTACTCATTTTGTATTGTTAATATTTGCATAAAGATATCAAGTTTTGTTAAGAAAGTTTTATTATCCCCTTCAGCTCTGAACAGGTGGTGAATATCTAGCCGCCATCATTCTTCATGGGTAAGGGGGTGGGGGGGTTGCTTTGACGTTGAATGGCTCTTGATCTGAGGAAGTGGAGCTACCCTTTCCTTCCTTGGATTAGACTTGATTACCTCCTACTCCCTAGATGCTGCATGACCCCCTTATGGGTTTCTCATTTTCCCACAAATTTTATTAGTTACCACCAGCATCAGTGCTGAACTGTACGTAGATTCAGTCTGGGTTCAGAAAAATTTAAACTTGAGAGTGTAAGAATGAAAACCCCATTACATGTCTGCTTCCCATGAATTAATTGCAGGAATTTAGACAACTATATGTTTTCCGAACTCAATAAAGCTAAAGTTAGAATACTGAAATGTGAGTTTTCACCCCAGTCCAAGTGTATGATATTAAAGATCCACTTCTGTGAAAGCCTTTGAGCAATTATTTCTCTCAATATAATTTTGGAAGCATTAGTACCAAGGCTACTAAAACAAAAAGTATCTTTTGGATATGTGGCTATAAAACATAGTATATATTCCTTTTATCTAACTGTTCAGTAAAATCTTTAGCTTATTGTGCCATAAGCTGCCAATGAATCTTTTTCCAGTAAGGGTCAGAGCTGAAGGGGAGGAAGGGACTCTGGGATATAGTGCCATATGCATTGGATCTTCATACAGGAAAGTCAGTTTATAGCTTTGTGGCTTCTTGACCCTCTTGGAAGTTTAAAAAAGCGTAATATTCATATAGCAGCTGGCCTCAATAGGGTGCAAGAATTATCAGGTCATAGTAAGTTTGATTTTTAATCAGAGGATGATGCTGCCACCTTCAACACCTCCCCAATACTTTATCATCCACTCTCACACTCCTACATTAATGTTGAGACTGATTTCCAAACTGACTCCCATTTCCTACTTCATCAGTGACCAGAACAAGTGGACTCCCGTTTCCTACTTCAACCGTTTTTCCTCCCTTTTCCTTCCATTTCCTGTAAATATTAATTCTGCAGTACCAGTGCCTCTCTTTCCCAGTGACCCTAATGAGTTTAGCACTTTTTTTTCTGGCCGTCTCCCAACCAAGGCAGGGTGACCCGAAAAAGAAACACTTTCATCATTTACACTATAACTATCTTGCCAGAGGTGCACAGATAATACAGTTATATAATAATCACCTTTTCCATACTATGTCATTTGACTCCTGTGTGTAGAGCAGCATGACCCGTACAGGACTAGTGCTTTTCTTGCTGTGCTGCATGACCCTTGTAGGTTCAGCACTTCTTTTTTGATTATGATAAGAGTGCTTTTCTTGAATACGATAAATTGAATTTAGCATCCTGCTACAGTATGCAACTTAAGAATGTTGTATGAGTGCACTTTTTAAGGTTATAACCAGTGAATACTTAGAGAAGATGAAGGTTGAAGTGAAATATGGAATGCCTACCAATAGTTATTGTAGAGTAGGATTGAACATCCCAGGTACTGGACAATAAGAATGAATATCCCAGGTATTGGACAATAAGAATGAACATCCCAGGTACTGGACAGTTAGAATGAACATCCCAGGTATTGGACAGTAAGAATGAACATCCCAGGTACTGGACAGTAAGAATGAACATCACAGGTACTGGACAGTAAGAATGAACATCACAGTACTGGACAGTTACAATGCACATCACAGGTATTGGGAGTAGCAGTGCACATGACAGATTCCAGAGAGTATGAATGCACATTGCAGATATTACAGAGTAGGAATGGTAATAGCAGGTATTAGGGAGTAGGAATGGTAATAACAGGTATTAGGGAGTAGGAGTGGTAATAACAGGTATTAGGGAGTAGGAATGGTAATAGGTATTACAGTAGGAATGGTAATAACAGGTATTAGGGAGTAGGAATGGTAATAACAGGTATTAGGTAGTAGGAATGGTAACAGGTATTAGGTAGCAGGAATGGTAATAACAGGTATTAGGGAGTAGGAATGGTAATAACAGGTATTAGGTAGTAGGAATGGTAATAACAGGTATTAGGTAGTAGGAATGGTAATAACAGGTATTAGGGAGTAGGAATGGTAATAATAGGTATTACAGAGTAGGAATGGTAATAACAGGTATTAGGTAGTAGGAATGGTAATAATAGGTATTACAGAGTAGGAATGGTAATAACAGGTATTAGGTAGTAGGAATGGTAATAGCAGGTATTAGGTAGTAGGAATGGTAATAACAGGTATTAGGGAGTAGGAATGGTAATAACAGGTATTAGGTAGTAGGAATGGTAATAGCAGGTATTAGGGAGTAGGAATGGTAATAACAGGTATTAGGTAGTAGGAATGGTAATAACAGGTATTAGGTAGTAGGAATGGTAACAGGTATTAGGGAGTAGGAATGGTAATAACAGGTATTAGGTAGTAGGAATGGTAATAGCAGGTATTAGGGAGTAGGAATGGTAATAACAGGTATTAGGTAGTAGGAATGGTAATAACAGGTATTAGGGAGTAGGAATGGTAATAACAGGTATTAGGGAGTAGGAATGGTAATAACAGGTATTAGGGAGTAGGAATGGTAATAACAGGTATTAGGGAGTAGGAATGGTAATAACAGGTATTAGGGAGTAGAATGGTAATAACAGGTATTAGGGAGTAGGAATGGTAATAACAGGTATTAGGGAGTAGGAATGTAATAACAGGTATTAGGGAAGTAGGAAGTTGTAATAGACAGGTATTAGGTAGTAGAATGGTAATAACAGGTATTAGGAGTAGGAATGGTGATAACAGGTTTGTAATGGTAGTAGGATGGTAAAACAGGTATTAGGTGTAGGAATGGTAATAACAGGTATTAGGGAGTAGGATTGGTATGAAAAGGTATTCAGGTAGGAATGGTATAACAGGTATTAGTAGTAGGAATGGTAATAATAGGTATTACAGAGTAGGAATGGTAATAACAGGTATTAGGTAGTAGGAATGGTAATAACAGGTTTATGGTAGTAGGAATGGTAATAACAGTATTAGCGAGTTAGGAATGTAAATAACAGGTATTAGGTAGTAGGAATGGTAATAACAGTATTAGGAGTAGTAATGGTAATAACAGGTATTGGTGTAGAATGGTAAATAACAGGTATTAGGTAGTAGGAATGGTAATAACAGTATTAGGGAGTAGGAATGGTAATAACAGGTATTAGGGAGTAGGAATGTAATAACAGGTATTAGGAGTAGGAATGGTAATAATAGGTATTAGGTAGTAGGAATGGTAATAACAGGTATTAGTAGTAGGAATGGTAATAACAGATATTAGGGAGTAGAATGGTAATAACAGGTATTAGGTAGTAGGAATGGTAATAACAGGTATTAGGTAGTAGGAATGGTAATAACAGGTATTAGGTAGTAGGAATGGTAATAACAGGTATTAGGTAGTAGGAATGGTAATAACAGGTATTAGGGAGTAGGAATGGTAATAACAGGTATTAGAGAGTAGGAATGGTAATAACAGGTATTAGGGAGTAGGAATGGTAATAACAGGTATTAGAGAGTAGGAATGGTAATAACAGGTATTAGGGAGTAGGAATGGTAATAACAGGTATTAGAGAGTAGGAATGGTAATAACAGGTATTAGGGAGTAGGAATGGTAATAACAGGTATTAGAGAGTAGGAATGGTAATAACAGGTATTAGAGAGTAGGAATGGTAATAACAGGTATTAGGTAGTAGGAATGGTAATAACAGGTATTAGGTAGTAGGAATGGTAATAACAGGTATTAGGGAGTAGGAATGGTAATAACAGGTATTAGAGAGTAGGAATGGTAATAACAGGTATTAGGTAGTAGGAATGGTAATAACAGGTATTAGAGAGTAGGAATGGTAATAACAGGTATTAGAGAGTAGGAATGGTAATAACAGGTATTAGGTAGTAGGAATGCATAATGATGAAATGATGGTGATGCAGAACCTTGGTCATAATCAGGTTTTTATTTACAGTGATGTACCGTGTACATAGAAAAGAAAGCTTGTAAAGACCCCTGGCTGTCTTCAAGAGTGAACTGAACAAACTACAGACCAGCTGGTCTGTAGTTTGTACACTGGTTTGCATTCAGCCAACAAAAACATTCTGGTTGATCAAGCCTGGTCATGGACCAAGCCACAGGGGCATTGACCTCCGAAACACCTTCCAGGTATACTCCAAGTAAATAGCGTAAAACCATAGATCCTTCAAAAGGGTGCCTTGATACTAGGTGAGGGCTCTTAATTGAAGGAATTCATGCTACCCTCCCCTTTTATACAAATACAAATTTTTATTTCCTTTCAAGTTTACATTGTGATTATGTAATTACAAAAATGAGTTGCAGTGCAAAGAGAGCCACTATCATGCCTTGGCATTATGGGCAGACTAACTTTAATGGCTTACAGACTGCTGAATACTAGACAAATAAATCATAGTTGTTAAAGTTATACATCTGTTTTTCTATATAGCAAACAGTAAGTTTACTCAAATTACAGTATGGGAATATTACAATGGGACAAGTTGAAAGTATTTTATAGGTTGTACATATCACAATAATTATTTAAATTATATTATGGGAATATTAAGTAATGTAATGAACTTTGGACATCTATTTTTGAAGTTTTGAGATTTAGGTAATTGGGAGATTTTTAGGTAAAGGTAGGTATTGAGTATTTAGTTTATGGTGAGTAGGTGTTTTTTGAGAAGAGTCTTTAATTTATGTACAGACTGGGTTACTTTGGTATTCACTTGTAATGAATTCCAAATTTTTGGGCCCATTATGTGCATAGAGTTTTTACAGTGTGAAATGGACACGGGGTCATCAAAGAGTGATCTGTGTCTTGTTTTATGGTCATGTGACCTGCTAATGTTGGTGAGAAGTTTGAGTGGAGGATTTATGTTTGAGTGTAGTGTTCTATGTATGTAGTATGCACAAGAATAAGTATGGATGTTTTTTACGGAGTAGTTTTAGGCTTTTGAATATTGGTGGAGTATGCTGTCTGGAGTGGGAATTTGTTATCATTCTGACTGCAGCCTTTTGCTGGGTTATTAGTGGTCTTAGGTGATTTAATGTTGTTGATCCCCATGCACAGATTTCATAGGATTTCATAGGTGAAATAGATGTAAATGAGTGAGTGATACAGTGCAAGGAGAGCTGATTGTGGAACAGTACCGTATCTTTGATAGTATGCCTACTGTCTTAGGGATTTTCTTGGAAATTTGTTGTACATGTGTCTGAAATTTGAGGCTGCTGTCAAGGTGGATTCCTAGGAATTTTCCCTCTGTGAGTCTTGTGATAGGTGATCCGTTTAGCATTATGTTAAGTGGATCATTTGAAGCTCTGTTTCCAAACCGAATGAAATAGGTTTTGTCAGTATTGAGAGTAAATTTGTTAGTCATCATACAGGTAGATATTTTCTTCAATTCAGCATTTACAGTGTTGACCAGTATGACTGGGTTTGGGTGAGAGAAGACGTATGTAGTGTCATCTGCAAATAATATGGGTTTGAGTAATTGTGATGCATTCGGTAATGAGAAAGAGGAGTGGGCCAAGGACACTTCCTTGTGGGACCCTGACTGTAATTGGTTGTGTGGAAGAGTTAGCTCCATTTGTGTACACATTGGCTTCTGTTGCTAAGGTATGACTAGGTAGATGAAGGAGTGCCCTCTTATACCATAGTGTGTTAATTTTATGTGCAACAAATCATGGTGAACTGTATCAAAAGCTTTACATAAGCTTTAGCTTACTTCATATTCTAGATTACTTCATATTCCACATGAGCTGTATGGCCCTTAAGGTTTGTAATTATGTATATTTTCATTGCTTTACTTTGGTTTTGTTGTATCCCTTAACAGCTCCTCAGCTCCATACTCTCACAGAGACCTTCATCAAGATGGAGGAAGTAGTGACGAAGGCAGAAATAGCAGCGCTGCCCAAAACTATGGAAGATTGAGAATTGCAAGACTCGTACTGCAGCCTAGGCTCTGACTAGGCACATGTTAGCTGACAGGCAACTGTTACCTCCATGTACTGGACTCACTTTTTTTTTGTGCTTGCTGGGGTCTAGTCGCATCTAGCCTGAGGGGGTTGTAGGAATCCCTAGTGTATTCCATTGTGGTATAACTTTGACGTACAGTACTCAATATCAGCAGATTTATTTTATTTATTTGTGATTATTGTCCTATTAGGTAATCACATTAGTAGGAATTTAGTTTCAAACATTGTTAGTATGAACTGCAGTTTGTTAAAATATGATTAGCATAAAACTATCAACATTATTAATTAAGATAAGTTGGAAACACATTCTTTAATTTTTTTTATACAAGATTTCATTTTTTTTTTGTTCTAAAATTAGTTAAATTTTCATATATAGGGTATGAGTGAGAATGGATGTTCTGAGTGTGTATGTATGGATAGTTAATTGTATGAAATACTGAAATGATATAAATAAGATAAATGTAGTTACATGGAATCCTTATTAATGACTTATACCAATGTTTGGGGCTTTATCAACTTGCAAGATGGTAAGCCGGGTAAGAGAAATGAATATACATATAAATAGTAGTGGTGAGGCAAGGAACAAGCAGATGCTTGGAGGCAGTGTGACAGTGTGCACTCCACTTTTATTTCATATCACCACTACCCATTTTACTTTTCCACCTTCTCTTTAAAAAATTGTCTCTCTGTTTGGATAAAGTTCACTACGGATGAAATGTTGTTAATGAAAGATTCCATATAACTATGTTAGTGTGTCTACTTGTAGGTTCACTGATGTTGTCCCAGCCCAGGTCTTCTCTAGATGGTGACTGGCAGTGTCTCTACTACAGTGTTTGTGTATGTTATCTTATTTTAGGGTTTGCAGTCTTTGTGTTATTTAATTTCTCATCTAAATATTGATCTAAACTTGCCAGCTTTTGAAATACAGTGGAACCTCCACTCATGAGTTTAATCTGTTCCCTGACCTTGCTTGCATCTGGATTGCTCATTTGCAGAGTCAGTTTTCCTCATTTAAATTAATTGTAATGCAATTAATCCATTCCCGGCTCTCTGGAGGCACCACAAGATACTTCAATAATTCACTAATATAATCTATACGGCTTATTTATCTATCACAATTCATCTATCATGACATAATAAACAATATAAATAACATAGAAACCTGATACATACTTTAGAATGAATAAAATATGTCATTCATGTAGTGGTATGGGCGGCATCAGGTGGTGGACGAGAGTTTGTCTGGTGACAGGAAAAAATACTCCTTGAATAATTTCGCTAATATAAGCTCTACGGCATATTTATCTATCACAATTCATCTAATATGATATAATAAACAACATAAATAACATACAAAGAATAAAATATGTCATTATGTGACAGGTGGAGGTGGCCACAACCACTTCCGCATTGTTGTGGTAAACACTGCCATCTAGTGACGGCCTTTTGAAGCCGTCTGTTATTATAATTTTTATTATATGGTACATTTTTTTTTTTTTTAACAAGTCGGCCGTCTCCCACCAAGGCAGGGTGACCCAAAAAGAAAGAAAATCCCCAAAAAGAAAATACTTTCATCATCATTCAACACTTTAACCTCATTCACACATAATCACTACTTTTGCAGAGGTGCTCAGAACACAACAGTTTAGAAGCATATACGTATAAAGATACACAACATATCCCTCCAAACTGCTAATATCCCGAAACCCCTCCTTTAGAGTGCAGGCATTGTACTTCCCATTTCCAGGACTCGAGTCCGGCTATTTAAAAATAACCGGTTTCTCTGAATCCCTTCACTAAATATTACCCTGCTTACACTCCAACAGATCATCAGGTCCCAAATACCATTCGTCTCCATTCACTCCTATCAAACATGCTCATGCATTATATTATTATTATTATTATATATTATTATACTATTATTATGATACATATTATTATTATTATTATTTGTAAAGTAAAAGGACACAAGTGCAACTAATGTGACATTTTATTGTGGCAACGTTTCGCAACGTTGCCACAATAAAATGTCACATTATTTGCACTTGTGTTCTTTTACTTTACATATTGTCGGTAATTCTACCAACATATATACCATTATTATTATTGCAATATAAGTAATTTGTAATTTTTATTCACACAGAAAATAGAAGATTTACTGTTAGGCAGACTACTGCATTATTGTAATAATTGTATAAATAATGTCAACCCATTTATGACTGCATATTGGAATGGACAGTGATGTCATTTGTTTACTCTTGAACATCGCCAAAGAATCGAACATTTCTGCTACTTTGAGCTCAGTTTCAAGGTACTTTTCATCATGGAACCAATTAAAATCATATCTTTTTCTGTAATATATCTTCCATTCTCTCAAATGAGACCAAAAAAACGAGAATACAACCATAAAACCCATACGAAAATACCGCTAAGAAGTGGCTAATTGCTGAGAAGTGAACTCCATTATTTATGGCTCAATTTCTTTCATTTTTTGTGTACATTAAGAAGCATCTTTCCATTATACATTGCTCAAGTTTTTATAAGATAGTCCAACAAACAAATAAGATCCAATTCCCTAGATCAAGAGCAAGAGTCCCTCACCAGCATCAAGGAACCTCCTTTGAGGCCTGCTCGCTTGTGGAAATTTCGCTCATGTATGGAAGCAAAAAATCGACCCATCGACTGCTTGTATTTGGAAAAACTCGCACGTGGATGCGCTCACAAGTGGAGGTTCCACTGTAATAGGATATTTTAAGCATTTAGCAGAATTTGCTTTTAGACAAGTTAATTTCATTTATTTGAACCATCGTCGTTTCTTGTATTGTTTAATCCTTGCACTGTAAATTGTGATTTTTTCCTTTTTTGTGTGTGGATTTTTATTTTTCATGACTCGTTAATCAATAAAGTTATTGCACAATACTCATTGATTGTATTTGTCACTTTTATATGTCCTTCATGGGAGGCGAGGTGCCTTAATGCCATGTAAGCTCTTCATCCAAAGAATTAGAGTTACTCCACTTTATTGGATCAAAACTGATTGCATTCTATTTTAAGTGCTACATAACCCCAATGGGTTTAGTGCATTCTTATAAAGTTTTTAATAATAATACTGACATATGCACCAGGTATATGTATATGGCCCCTATGGGCTTAAGGCCATGGATCTGTGGAAGATGTGAACTACAGAATAAATGAAAAAAAAAAGTAGTGATATGTTGGTGTATTGATGGAGGAAAAAAAGGGGGAATATACCAGAGTATAATGATACCATGTCATGTTTAAGAGCAATATGTAATATGAATATTATGCAGAGAATTTGGAGTGTAGAAATTAGATTTGGAGTTAAGGCATTTGGATAGGATGGAGCAGAATAAGATAACCAAGAGGGTTTATTAATCTGAAGTTGAAGGAAGAAAGCATAGGGGTCATCCCAGGAATAGTTTGAAGGTGGTAAGCTCCTCAATGATGCTGATGAGGGGCCCTTTACCTAGGGAAATGGATCTGTGCTCCAGTTCCCTGAATGCCTTCCATCCCCCTTACCATAGGCGCTGTATAATCCTACGGGTTTAGCACTCCCCCATGATTATTATAATAATGAGTGCTTGGCATTTCAGCATCCAGCAGGCTAGTGTGAGCATGTTAGATCAGATTCATTGGAAACAAATGGTTATATAGTTTCAGATACAGTGCAGAGTATCAGGGAAAACCAATTAGCTGGAGTAGTGTAGTACAGTGCTGCACTCAGGAAGGGTGGAGATGTTAAGTTTATTCAGGTGCAATACGGAAGTTTAGATTTTTACACTTGTTTTACACAGAAACATGTATATTACCTAGGATTACCCAATAAAATCTTGCACATTGGGAGCCATTTCTGGGAAGACAGTTATTGACTGAGTGATATCTGTCAGGGGAGGTTCCTTGATCCCAGTGAACCCCTCAGGAGATTCTTTGATCCCAGTGAACCCCTCAAGGAGGTTCCTTGATCCCAGTGAACCCCTCAAGGAGGTTCCTTGATCCCAGTGAACCCCTCAAGGTGGTTCCTTGATCCCAGTGAACCCCTCAAGGAGGTTCCTTGATCCCAGTGAACCCCTCAAGTAGGTTCCTTGATCCCAGTGAACCCCTCAAGGGGGTTCCTTGATCCCAGTGAACCCCTCAAGGAGGTTCCATGATCCCAGTGAACCCCTCAAGGAGGTTCCTTAATCCCAGTGAACCCCTCAAGGAGGTTCCTTGATCCCAGTGAACCCCTCAAGGAGGTTCCTGATCCCAGTGAACCCCTCAAGGAGGGTTCCTTGATCCCAGTGAACCCCTCAAGGAGGTTCCTTGATCCCAGTGAACCCCTCAAGGAGGTTCCTTGATCCCAGTGAACCCCTCAAGGGGTTCCTTGATCCCAGTGAACCCCTCAAGGGGGTTCCTTGATCCCAGTGAACCCCTCAAGGAGGTTCCATTTATCCCAGTGAACCCCTCAAGAGTTCCTTATCCCAGTGAACCCCTCAAGGAGGTTCCTTAATCCCAGTGAACCCCTCAAGAGGTTCCTTGATCCCAGTGAACCCCTCAAGGGGTTCCTTGATCCCAGTGAACCCCTCAAGGGGGTTCCTTGATCCCAGTGAACCCCTCAAGGGGGTTCCTTGATCCCAGTGAACCCCTCAAGGGGTTCCTTGATCCCAGTGAACCCCCTCAAGAAGGTTCCTTGATCCCAGTGAACCCCTCAAGGGGTTCCTTGATCCAGTGAACCCCTCAAGGAGGGTTCCATGATCCCAGTGAACCCCTCAAGGAGGTTCCTTAATCCCAGTGAACCCCTCAAGGAGGTTCCTTAATCCCAGTGAACCCCTCAAGGAGGTTCCTTGATCCCAGTGAACCCCTCAAGGAGGTTCCTTGATCCCAGTGAACCCCTCAAGGGGGTTCCTTGATCCCAGTGAACCCCTCAAGGAGGTTCCTTGATCCCAGTGAACCCCTCAAGGGGGTTCCTTGATCCCAGTGAACCCCTCAAGGGGGTTCCTTGATCCCAGTGAACCCCTCAAGGGGGTTCCTTGATCCCAGTGAACCCCTCAAGGGGGTTCCTTGATCCCAGTGAACCCCTCAAGGGGGTTCCTTGATCCCAGTGAAGGGGCTTAATCTAAGGAATTGAACCTGAATTCCCATTCCAGGGAAAATGAGGGTTTAGCACTCACCCCCCTGAACATGCTAATAATCCCTTCCTTAAATCACTTGTTAAAGCAACTGCTCAAGAAGAAATTTCTCACCTAGCTGGTAGTAACAAGTTATCACAAGTTATATACACTGATGGATCTAAACAGGAGTCTTCTGGCAGGGCTGCATCTGCTCTTGTTGCCACCTCCCTAGTTAAGAACCATAATAAATTTAAGTTAGGCATAAGAATTAACAACTGGGCGTCTACACTTCAAACTGAATTGTTTGCCATCCTAATGACGCTAAAGCTAACTTATGACACTGAGCTTGACTCTATCATCATTACTGATTCTATGTCATCATTGAAGGCTCTTGACTCATATAATGACTCCAACAACATGCTCATTGGGGAAGCCAGGTGTAGATACTCAAAAATTAGGGACAAAGAAATTAATGTACAATTGCTATGGATCCCATCACACATTGGATTACTCCTTCATGATAAAGTTGATATGTTAGCCAAGAAGAGTATTGAGAAGGAGAATGTAGAATATAACTTTGGTATATCTGTGTCTAAGCATTAGGAATAATGTTAGGAGAGAAGTAAATAATGAAAATGATTGTTATAGGAATGCAGTTAGAAGCCTGAGTAGATCTATAACCCACTATGATAACATGAACATAGATAAGTATGTTTATGGAGCAACTTGCAATGTGAACAGACTGACTGATGTTGTAGTGGCCAGGCTTAGGCTTGGTTACAAGTACTGACTGATGTTGTAGTGGCCAGGCTTAGGCTTGGTTACAAGTACTTCTGGCAGTTTGGGAGACACACAGATGATGATCAAACTAAATGTAAATTATGTGATCAGGCATATGGTCACTGTCTTGAACACTATGTGCTTAATTGTCCACTTACTGAGGAATACAGACAGACAGTATAATAACCTATGTGACATGTTAAGATATCTTATTAATGAAAATAAGATACCAGATATACTAAGCAAATTTCCTAAATTTGCTTGTAACAGATAAGTGAACTATAGATATGTAGATATAAATCCATATGTATTCCTGTTAACCCTTTGGGGCCTAGTTCCTAGGCCTTTTGTGTATCCATATTTTGCGTGCAGCCAGCAGCAACAGCCTGGTTGATCAGGCTCTGACCCACCAGGAGGCCTGGTCACAGACCGGGCCGCGGGGGCGTTGACCCCCGGAACTCTCTCCAGGTAAACTCCAGGTATATGCTCTCGCGCTACCGTCCACAGGATGGATATGGGGTGCACAATAAACTAGCCACTAAGGTGGCAAAATCTAATCTAATCCCCCTGAACATAATGCTAATTATAATAATATTGAATGAGTGATGCTAAATGTGGTTCCTGTTTATGGGTCATTCTACCTTGGTGGACCCCTCAAGGAAGGTTCCTTGATGTTGGTGAGGGGCTCTTGATTTAGGGAATTGGATCTGTGCTCCAGTTCCCCGAATTAAGCCTGAATGCCTTCCACATCCCCCCCCCCAGGCGCTGTATAATCCTCCGGGTTTAGCGCTTCCCCCTTGATTATAATAATAATCTACCTTGGTGGAGGAGGTCCAGTACCTTTAAAAACAATGATAATTAGATTATTGAGTTAGGGGCTCGTGGAAGCTAGAGAACGTGTTTTGTGTTCCACTGAAGTCTCCCATTTCAGGTTGATACATCCTATGTGATATTCCATCACACCCTATGTGATGGAATATGACAGGGAAAACAGCTTTCGTTCCCACTGTGGAATTATTATAGACAATCAGGTTGCAGCACACTGCCGATGTATCCAATTTCTTAGAAAAAGGTACGTCCGCCCTTCACTACAAAGGTTAGAGGTCCCTCAGACTTCTGCTTCATCCTGGGTGTGATTATGTAGGTGGACGTCTCATTCTTGCCTGAATATCGGTAACAAATTTTCCCTATGTCATTTACACTATGTATGATAATTGTACTTATGTGTAACTGTGCCTAAGTAAACTTCGTCTTTTTTCTTACCTGTCATCTGGGCACATCGAAGGCCGGGACATTCACCCCAATGGAAACACAAGGATTCCAATAAAAACAAGTCATTTGGACTTTTTTTGGGTTATCCTAGGTAATTTACACATGTTAAACTGTGTATGATAATTGTACTTATGTGTACCTGTACCAAAATAAACAAAAAATAACACCTGCCCCATATTTCTCTCTCCTGCGAGTATACCACGGTTTTTATGTGAAGCCGGTTCCTGAACTCAAGTAAGCAAGTAAGTTGTAATAATAATAATAATAATAATAATAATAATAATAATAATAATAATAATAATAATAATAATAATAATAATAATAATCTTTATTTCTACAAGTACATAATTGGCATACTTTATAAAGTCCCTGGTTTTGCATTTCTGGCAGCTACAGTTAATCTTTTCCCCTCACGATGCGACCCACAACAGTCGGCTAACACCCAGGTACCTACCTACTGCTAGGTGAACATGGACAGCAGTTGTCTTAAGGAAACACGTCCTAATATTTCCACCCGTACCGGGGAACGAATCACGGACCTCTGTGTATAAGCTAAGTGCGCTACCAACCCAGCTACGGGAAACTCTATGTTTATTTTGTGTTAAGACACCTGCTGTCCCTGTTCACCTAGCAATAAGTAGGTACCTGGGTGTTAGCAGATTGGCGTGGGTGGTTAACCTAAGTTGCGGGAAATGCTCTACATAACCAGGGACTTTCTATACAGCATGTCATTGATGTCAGCTATGGTCTGTATAAGTTATATCATGCACTGGTAGACATGAAGATTATTATTAATATTAATATAAAGGGCCCCAATGGAAATAAGTCACTCTGACTTTTTTTGTGTTATCCCAGGTTCTCTACACATATGTTGTTATGTATGATAATCTATGTAACTGTATTATGTGTAGCTGTATAGCCCTTGTGGCTTAGCGCTTCTTTTTGATAATAATAATAATAATAATAATAATAATGTATTATGTGTACCTGAATAAACTTACTTGTTGGAAAGATAAGTCGTCAGTGTCCCTTATAACCCACAACACAGTGGTGGTGAGGGGCGGAGGATCTGCTCTGGTGCCACTTTAACAGTGCCACATTTACCCCTCAATGGCGGCACTTCTCCAGGTATAGTGCCACTTTCCTTGTCACTTGCCTCCATGGCGCTGCTTCTCGAGGTAAACTCTTTTGAAGACGGGAAAGGGAAAGGGGTTAGCTCCGGGGTACCCCCTTTTTTTTAGACGTGTAATTCCCTCCAACAGGTATTGTTTGGCACTCATGGACTCTCATCCCTATGGTGGCCCCCTCCCCAGGTATAGTGCCCCTTTCTTGACACCCTCATGGGGCACTCCTCCAGTACGATAAGGGCACCTAAATTTACGGGGAACGGTTGATGGCCTTGATCGTTTTCCCTGAAACGCAGGCGAAAGATACATATAAAATACATTTGGAAGGTCCTGGGGGGAGGACCAAACGCACACGAAAACCACTCCCAAAAAAAGCAAAAGACTCGGCAGAAAAGCAACATTCACCAGATGAAAAACGCGGCGCCACGAGTACCTGAGAGACAACAAAAAAAAGTGTCGGGGGCCCAGGCTGTTCAACTGCCTCCCACATACATAAAGGGGATTACCAAAGATCCTGACTGTTTTAAAGAAGGCACTGTACAGGCACCCAAGTCATCCCTGACCAAACCGGGGCTGGGTTCGACGTCAGTTTGGGGTGTGGCCACAGAAACACCTGGTTGATCAGGCCCACCACCAGAGGCTTGGTCCAGACTGAGCCAGGGGGATTTGACCCCCCCAAACCTTTTTCCCGGTAAACTCCAGGTAAACTCTTTCCAGGTGGCAATCCCAGTATAATGCCATTTTGTTGTCACTCACCCCATGGTGACACCCTCAAGGTATAGGCCCTTGTCACTCTTAGGGTGACACTCCTCCAGTACAGTGCCACTTTTCTTGACACTCACCCTCATGGTGACATCCTCAGGGAAACTCCATGTTCAAAAGAACTGCAAGAAGCCCCTACACACCTTTTTTCCATCCATGGGAGGAGCATGGACACGGGGTCGTCCCACATTGCTAAAAACAAACATACCCCACCCAAAAAGGGGGGCAGTAAAGCAACGCAAAAAACTACAGACCGATAGACAAACTCCCAAAACAAAAAAATCTTTAAAAGGGTCCTAAGAAGCAAGATCACCACCCATCTAAAACCCCATCAGTTACACAACCCAGGGCAACTGGGTTTAAACGGGTCGTTTTCTGTTTTCAACTTTGGATCACTACGACAAGGCCAGAGCACAAAGACAAAAAGAAGCAGATGTAATATAACAATTTTGCAAAAGCCTTCGAAAGTGTGATCAGGGCGAATAGCGCACAAAATCGTGCAAAGGGGAATAACAGAAAAGCGTCGATGATCTATAATTTCCTCACTAACAAACCAAGGTATCGTCAACAGAGTAAACCCCGAGGCAGCTACGGTAAAAACTCTTTCCACAAGGCACAGTACTCCCTCCCAAACTTTTTTTCTTCCCATATCCACAAGACAAGGATGCAGCCACAGCACCGTGTCTTCCTTTGCAGATGACACCCAATCTGCATGACAGTTGTTCCATTGCAGACACTGCAAGGCCCGGCGGACATAAACCCAAAATTTTTCAGGGGGCGCAGAAAAAATATGAAGTTCAACGATGAAAATTTTTAAATTTACCAGTATGGTAAACACGAGGAAATAAATCTTCTCAAGTACAAAAAAAATTTCGGCCCAAAAATAAGCGAAACACCAACGTCAAAGACCGGGGAGTGATCATGTCAAACTAGCCTTCAAGGCCCATAACAGAAAATAATCGCACTCTAGAAAAATGACAGGAGGAAAAGAGAACCTTCAAAACTAGGGGGGCCAAAGCCCATGTTGACACTTTTCGGGTCACTTTTTCTATCTGGGCTGGAATATTGCTGCACACTAACAGCACCTTTAAAGGGCAGGTAAATTGCCCGCCCTAGAAAATTAAAGAAAACCCTTTTCACGGCGCACAAAGGGAATAAAACACCTCAATTACTGGACCTCGGGGTTCCGAACCTGTATCCCGGGAACGCGGGGGGGGAGAGATACATGTTTTATATACACCTGGACAAGTACCGAACTTGCACACAAAAATCACTCACTACAAAGCAAAAGACTTGGCAACGATGCAAAAATCCCCCAAAGAAAACAGGGGTGTCACAGCACTTTTAAGAACCATACAATAAGTTCGGGGGGCCCGAGACGTTCAACTGCCTCCCACATACGAAAGGGGGGATTACCAAAAACCCCCGCATCTTCAAGCGGGCACTGGAAAAGCACCAAAGTCGTTCCCGACCAGCCGGGGTGGGGCCCTCTACTTGGTTTGCATGCAGCCACAGTAACAGCCGGGTTGATCAGGCTCTGCCCCACCGGGAAAAACCCTGGTCACAGACCAGGCCGCGGGGCATTGACCCCGGGAACCTCTCCAGGTAAACTCCAGTAAGTCCCCTTTTCCCCTTGTCACTCCCCCATGATGCACTCCGGGAAAAAGCCACTTTCCTTGTCACCACTCATGAGGCACCCCCCTCCAGGTATAGTGCCACTTTTCCTTGTCACCTCATGATGACACTCCTCGGGGTATAGTGCCACTTTCCTTTTTTACTCACCCCATGGGGGCTCTCCCAAAGGGAAGGGCGATTCCTTGTCCTCCATGGTGACACCCTCCAGGTACATTGCCATTTCCCCCTTGACCTCACCTCATGGTGACTTTCTCAGGTAACTGCCACTTTCCCTTTGTCACCACTCATGATGGCACTTCCCGGGGATAGTCCCACTTTCCTTGTCACTCACCCCATTGGCACCCCCTCCGGGTATTTGCCATTTTCCTTGTTATCACCCCATGGTGGCACTCCTGAAGGTAAGTCCACTTTTACTCACCCTCGTTGCGAAAAGAAATTTTATAAAAAAAATTCAAAATGGGTCTTTTACTTTTTTTTTTATCAACAAGTTTTTTGGGATCCGAGTTATTAAAGGTATTTTAAAGTCTAGGGGAAATAATTTCAACTGGGAAACCCATAAAAAATATAAAATTTATAAAATTTTTTAAAACAAACATTTTCTCTGTACCTAATATTAATTTAATTTTTGAAAATAAATTTACAAATCAAAATTAGTTCAAAATCAGGGAAATACACATAATAGGGAAGAAAATTATTCTTCTTAATTAATCTTCACTAACATTTTACGTCTTTGTCTTAAGACTTTTTAAACTCAAACTAAAAAAATACAAGATTCAACAAACTTTTGAACCGCCGAAAGTAATAGAAAGCAAAGTTTTTCTGAAAAAACTATCTCTGGGATTACTGAACGACCAAGAATAAAAATATCAAAAGAACTTTCAGAGAAATGGGGAACAAACTAGCCCACTCTAAACCAAATTTCCCAAAAACCCATTCAAACGACACCGTAAAGAGAACCAAATACGATCAGTTGCCCAAGGCTAGAACAGGGAGCGACTGCTACCTCTATCTTTTGACCCTCGTCATTTGGATCCCTCCCCCAAAACCATCAGCCGACAAAAAATTAAACAATTCCCCGGGATGGTTCCGAGACTTGGCTCTATATACATAAGAAATCCTATCAAACAATAATAAAAAATGGGACAAACCATGGTTTTTTTTTTTTTAATATTTTTTAACAGATAATAAACTATAATGCCGAAAGCTCTATTCTAGCATAAACGGGACTTTCCACTATAATATTAAGGATGTATATTTTTTACAAAGTTAAATATAAAAGGGAAAACCCAATCCCAAGATAAACACCCCCCCCCTTCCCCTAAGAAAAATGGGCGCATAGGGAGTTTGCAAGCGTTCTCGGTAATATCTTCTTTTAGAACGTCCTTTTGGTAAAAAGGGCAGTAGGACGACGGGAAATGAAGATAAAGAACTCATCTCAGGGTTATTTGCCAAAGGGGATGACTTCGGAAGAAGGCCCGGAAGAACATCTGGAGTGGCATCCTCAAAATTCGAGAAAGGGTCTCAACATATGACGTCGGGGTCATCCATGGGGACTTAATACTTCGTCTCATAAACGAAACGGTTTTCAAAATCATACGTCAAAAAAAAAAATCTTAACAAAAAATATATAATATAATATAATATATATATATATAATATAAAAAAACAGGGGCCCCCCGCATAACGATTACCTCCAAAGCGCCCAGTTATGTAATGTATTAAGTAAATGCTTTGACGTGTATTTTGGGGGCTGAAAGGACTAACACTTCACAATATTTCTTATGGAACAAATTTCAGTACGGGCCCCTGAAATACTTCTGGATGAAAAAATATCGTTAACCCCGGGGGCCACTGTAGTATTATGTATTTTTAATAATATATAATATATAATATATATATTATATATAAATATATATATATATATAAATATATAATAAAATATATATATTATAAATTTAGGCTCTAAAGTACTCATTTCTTAACTTTAAATTTAAGGTATTTTTTTTTTTTTTCAGGAGCGAAAAAAGGGCCCAATTATGTTAAAGTTCCACTCAAGTTTGAATACTAATCAAATAGGTTTGGACCCTCAGAGCCCACCGAGGACCGGGGTGTTTTTTGATTTCATAAAATTAAAAAAATTAAAGGGGTTGTATCAAAAATACCATAATTTTCTGGGGAGGTTCCCAGAAAAAAGTCAAAATGTTCCCAAAATTTACGGGGCA